TTATAAATTAAAAAAAATTGTAGTGTTAACATTTTCAAAACGAATAGTATAAATTTTTATTGATATTTCAAAATTTTTATTATAATCTTCAATGTAATATAATATTTTATATTATAATGTAAATTAATATGTTCCAATTATTTGATATAAATAATATTTGATCTCTTTGAAATGGAATTATTGCCATCAGCAATGTATTCCTTTTTCCAGTGAAATTTAGTTATAATTTTCTTCTTCCAACTTCGTGTAGAAGAGTTGGTGAAGTAAAGAAACTGCTAAACTTCTATAAATTTTCACTTTCACCATCTATCAATTTCGTGCCTATTAATTTATAACTTAGTATTTCGTTTAAAATTTAATATACGATGCTACTTCACGCATATCACATTTTATTTTATTAACAGTTAAATATAAAGACAAGTATTTGTTCGAATAAAGAACCATGTGTGAATATTTGAAAATTTCAAATAAATTTCTTCCTTCCATTTTGTATAATTCATCTACTTAGCTTTACGTTATTAAAATTCATAAGTCATCACAATAATTAGAAATTTTAACCTTTGAAACTTCCAATAAATACTTTTACAATACAATAATTATTATAAATTATAAATTCGTATAATTGAATAGATTGAGCGTTACGATTTTAATAAATCATTATTACATTACATTAATTTGAGTCTAAATTTCATTAACATAACTTCGTATAAATCTTCTACAGTTATAACAAAAGATTTTAGTATCTTAAGGCACAACGTTTCAAGTACAAGCATTTCAAGTACAAGAAAATAATCTTCAGCTGATTGGAACAAATTACTGACTACAAAGAGAAATATCATTTGATAAACAATATGTTATGTAACGTCAAATTTTTCCATCGTTTACGTTAAAAAGTAAAAATTATTATACATCCTAAAGTTAGTATGACCCCTTTCTTTTCAGTGTTAATATTTTATAATTGAGCATAGATTATTTACACAATGTGAATCTTATATATTTGAAATTTATCCAGTTAACGATTCACTTAACAATACAATTCACTTCTTCCGATACAATAAAATATTTCGTTTAAAACCGAAGTCTTGGAGATTCTTCTCAATTTCATAAAAAGAAGATCATACACGATAGGATAAAATGACAATGATTCAGAGGAATGAAACCCTAAAAAATCCACATTATGCAAATAAGTTTCTCTCTGGTTTCTAAGTACGTTGCTTATACAATGGTATAAAAAAGAAATGTACGGACGTACATCGTCAGAGTATCAAAATGTTTTGAAACGTTTCAGAAATCAGTCGACTAGAGCAATCATGCTTCCACTTCTCTTTCATAGCTGAACTCGTGCGATTAAATGCCAGGGAAGAAAATACGCGTTCGTGCATGGAGGAATATGCATAGTGAAATCGTTTCTTTCATACGTGAGATCCATTTTCCCCCGTGCACGAAGATCGTATTGAATACACCACTGAAACTATTATTAAGCAATAGCTTCAGTTTTTCACTTATGCAAGAAGCAGTTTTGTTGGATAGAATCCAGATGGATTAGATCCAGATGGCGAAGCGACGTGCAAGATCACACGAATCAATCGATTGACTAAAGAGTTCTCAAAGTCTTGTCGATGTGTCTCAAAGTTGTTTCAGGCACAGCGTCTGTTAAAGCCTTTCGAAATCCTTCGCAGTGTGCAAGATGCCGGAACATTTTCTTGGCATGGTTTCTACAGAATAATTTGTAAATAACAATGTTACATGATAGATAAGTAGCTACGAGAATTATGAGAAATTACCTGGCATCCAGATTTCCATCGATCAACAACCTCGCACCTGTAGAAAGTAGCTTGTCTTTCACATCTTTTGGTAAAATTAAAGTATGTTGTGGTCCTATTCGATCGACTATAGAAGCCAACAATCTTGCTGTAGCTGCTCTCACTATGGCATTCTGGTGACTAAATAAACAACGGTGATTAAATAAACACCATTACTTATGCATTTATGATAAATATAAAAATACAAAAACGAACATGGCTGAGCATAAATATAAGAATATATAAAAATATATATTATAATATTTTAATTTCCATTCCAATTATAATGCCCTTGATAAATTCATATATATCTGAGGCTCAACATTAACTGGTTCATATAAACCACAACCCATTTTCTTTATTAATATCTACAGGAACATCTCTCTTTATTTCATTTATAACAATATCTTCTCTTTATTAATATTTATAAAAATTTGCATAAAAAGACCTTCACAATCTAACGATCACCGTTGCAAATGAAAATAAACTATAAATTTTGTACATTAAAAATTGACAAATAATTCACCTAGCACCACGCAGTACGATGACAGTAATGGTTTTATGAGGCGGAAGATGTTCTATCATTTTATCCAAGGCTGCATTACTGTCTGCTCGAAGAAATCGATTGGTGTCTGCTGTTTTGTGAAGCAATGATCCGGCTATGTCGTCGAAGTCCTATAAAAATAATGATTCTCGTTAGAGGAGTGGAAACATTAATGAATGTAAAAAATGAATATTATCTACAATTAAATTGCATGATAATACATGTATGATGTTATGAAAATTTACTTGATCTATGCCACGAATCTGTGAACTAAAAATATCGCCAGCGGTCAAGCATGCTGTTCGTGCTACTTGTGATCGAAGACTTTTTATTTGACGACCTAAAAGCCGGCTTATCGTCGCAGTAGCGCATACATCCAGATACTCCGGTTGTTGCTTTGCGATCTGGGATAACGTTTTTAACCCTTTCATAGTAATTTCCCTGAAAGAAAGAATAAAAAGTACTTTTAGCAGTTGATCGTATCTATTTAAATTTTCCTAATCGTTTATTAAAGATTAAAGGTTAAATATTGCAAAAGAATGTTAACAATAATCATTTTTAGATTTTGTCATTTGACATGATATTGTACAGAATGCGCATGAGTAAATGTATAAAATTTAAGGAATAATATTTTTTGTAATATGTAAAACTACTTTCCATTGAGGTTTTATTTTTTTACATTCTCTTTATGCAATATGAATAATAGTAATAATAAATATAATTAGTATAAGTAGTAATAGTCCATTCATTATAAAACAATTCCTTTCAGATTGATTTAGTTACATTAATGATACTTGCCAATCTTTATTCTCAAGGTGAGCAAAACACTGTTGTACAATTGGTTTTATCTTTTCCTCTTTCTCCGGATTTCCTTTGCTTCGAGCTCTTGTTGCAACACGAGGAACCCTGGAGGTCTTTCGTTTGGTTGTAGCGACTGGCTCCACAGGTTGACTCTGGATACAGATGTATTTAGAGGAATGTTTTGTAATAAATATTTTCAGAATTTAAAAAACAGATGAAAAACTAAGTAAAGAAATATTTTTAAAATATTTTATTACCTCAATTTTTATAATTGCTGGCTCAGTGTTCGTTTCGCTGGAGCTATCCTTACTTTGTCCATCTTCAAAACTATTATTCCCGCTAACAAACTGAAGAAAAGTATTTTAATTAACGATTATAAAAATACAGAAAACCTTAAATAAGATATAAGAAATTTTATCTGAACACTTGTTTGTACTGTATGATGGCTTACCCTGAGAATATTATCATTTTCTTCCATTTGAATAGTACTGTCAAGATGATTTTCCATATAATTAGAACTGGATGAATGAGGTCTGGAGGCAATGATGATAGCTGGTGATTCTTCTGATTTCGAGCCTCTGCGTGATTGAGTTGGTTCTTCCAACTGGATAGAATCACACTGCACTGCGAGAGAATCAGCTTTGTCTTCGCTTGAGTCTGCCAAATCTTTGTCTTCCAGTTCAAAACTCTACAACAAAATATAAGGAATATTTTAACTTTAACTTTTGCACTGAGTACTTTATATATATTTCATAATTATTAATTATGCATATTACAACTACATAATATTATATAATTGTTTTGTATATTTTACATTTAAATTTCCTACAATTGCGCAAATATAAGCAGTCCATAGTATAAAATAATCATTTCATATTTATTAACCAACCAATTTATGTGGACTGCCTCGAGAATTATGTCTTGGAGATTTCGATGTCTCAAAATCGACAGAACTTCTACTCGGCGATCGACTAAACTTTTTGGGGCTCGTAAACATTCTCGGAAGTTCTCCATCTGGAAAATCCGAATGTAGAACATCAGCGGCCTTTTGCAAGCTTTCGTTCGTTAACGCTCGTTCAGTTGTTAAAATTGATACGATAGATGATCTTTCTTGCATATTCAACTTCTCATCCGTTCGTCCATTTTCATCTGAAGTGCTAAATTCGCTCTCGTTTTGATTTCCTTCGAGGTATTCAACGTGCTCTGAGTTTCTGGATATCGCACGACTTTGATTTCTTAATTTCAATTCCTCTTCGCTGCTCCAGTCTTTGGATCCATCGTCGTCGATCGATGTAACTGTCGCTTCTGTTCCAGTCTCAACTTTTTGGTCTAATGAAATCTGAAATGTTATAGTATATGCTACATAACTTCTTCTTCTTGACTTTTTGACTTTTATTGTTTAAGTTTTATGAAGTTATTGAGAAGAAGATACACATACACACACACACACACACACATATTTCCTTAATTTTAAGAATGATATCAAATGAAATTGTTAATTATATATAAATTAAATTCAATTATTAATTAAAAGTATATAAATTATTAATATACAGAGTGAACTAAATCAATCATCTTGAATATCTCTTTGTTTCTGAAGACATGAAAAAATTTTGTTAATAAAAACTGTTAAGTATGGAGGGAGTCATAGAGGGAGATCTACACTTTCTTAAATGAAATCCTATATTTTCTTTTATATACCAATGCAGCCTTTTGTCGTTTATAAAAAGGTATTGAAAATTAGTTATTAATTTTATTTAAAATTAATAGTTTAAAATATATCGTTTCACTTAAAAAAAGTAGAAGTGATCTTGAAACGAACCCCTCAACTTACAAAAGCTATTACTGTGACATTATGGCCTCTTCTGTATTAAACTATTTTTGTATGAAGAAACAAAGTTTAGTCTTAAAAAACAACAGAGATATTAAAAGTGATCAAGTCTACGTGTTCCATCCTGTATAAATTAATATGTACATTAATTATTAGTAATAATAATATATATGTATATAATTTATTAGTTAATAAATAAATATTTTTTAACTTCGTAGGAGGACGTTGTTCAAGAAGGACAACGTTCATTATAAAATATTGCTACAGCGAATATTTACAATAAAATCGACGGTGCCTCGATCAGGAGAACCCGATTGTCCGGTGATAATATCAAATGCAGTGTCTGCATTTTGTCTATCAGGTGTAGATGATCTGGAATCACTATCATCTTGAGAATCGTGCACGTCCTGTTCAACATCTTGATGATAGTTACTTTCTAAGGCGTCTGACGATGAAAATTCGTCCACTAAAAAAGCAAACCAAATTGTTCAACAATCGGTAACAATAATATATCCCAAAATATAAATGTCAACATAATTTAATGTTTTAATATTTCGACGGATATTATAAATTCATAATATTATAAACAATGAAATGAAACAAAGAGATTTTTAAATATACTTGTAATGTAGAATTGAGAGCTAACTCGCAAATTTTTAAACCAGACTCATTTACCTGATCTATTATTAAAATCGATATGCCTGATATTTATATATCTATACGACTGAGGCCATTATATATATATATATATATATATATATA